GTTATAAAAATACCATCTACAAGTTCATACACTTATTTAAATACCCTCTGTATGTGCAGCAGTTTGACAGCTGCTTTAGTCCCATATTGCCTGAGACAGTAGGAATTTCACACTTCCATCTTACGAGGTGCAGTGTGCAGTATAATTGAGTCATGCTGACTTGTGTGAATGATGCCCTTGTTTCATCCCTGTATGACTACACATCTGCACGTCTGATAGGGTCTGATAGATTCAGTTTGTTAAAGGGATCATGAGGCTGATTTTCTCATAGCACTGTACAGTATATAATACAAATTACTGGAAATAAATAAGAGAAGTTTATGCACAGTGAGGTATTCCTTCCCTATTACTGTTATACCGGTTAATGATTAATTAATGATTTTCTGTATAATATCTAATTATTATAATAAAATCTTAACAAATTCACATGTACAGTACATAAAAAAAGATATTGATTTTCACAAGTTCACATTATTATTATTCAGTTCTTTGTCTTTTTATTATTGTGTATTGCACCTTTAATAATGAAGTTTATCAGTTTCTACAGTATAGCATCATCACAATGTCTTCTCTGCGAGTATTTGCCACAATATTCTCTGTCAGTTCTGCCCAGAGGTTATTTAGTGTGGGATCCAAACCTTCCTGCAATACACACTTACAATAAGTGCCAAAAGTTTCACTAACCAGTTGGAAGAAGCTTTTGTTTACTGGGCTGAGATCAAATTCTAAAAACAGTTCTTAGGCACTACAGTAGAAATTAAACTCAATTGCAACTATGTCTTATGAAAAAAGTAAGACAGCAAGCTATTTTATAATGAAGTTCCTACTAACTAGCAAAAACCTGATTCCTGTTGAGATTAAAAAAGGAGCTTTCACGCTGTTTAGCTTCCTTCTTTCCTTGTCTTTTCTCTGTCCTCTCTAGTTCCTATCCTGTATTTTATGATTCATACCAATGGAGGATGCCTAACAACCTCCTAGGTTGCCTAGGAATGGCCAGTCACTGTTAAAAGTTAATTAATATGGTGGTCTTTAATGTTTTACCATGTATTTAATTAACCAGAGTAAATAATTCAGAACACTCTTTGATCACCTGTGTTTTGCCCTGTTTTCACTTGACTGTTAGCAAACACACAGCTAGGCACATACAGTACTTAAGCCTTCTGAATAGTTAAACCCTGCTGGGAAATGCAAACTATGATACCCCCCACCTTTGTATTTTAAAAGTAATATTTTATTCAAAACCTGAGTGCTCAAACTGAAGACTACAGACGGTAAAATAAGCTACAGTTAATGTTCGTAAAAACTAAAGAAAATAAATGTAATTGATTTAAGTTAATTGCATACGTATTCAGATCTGTGAGCTCAGTATTTTGAAGAAAGCAGTTATGTCAGCAATGGGAGTTGCAGTCTCCACCATCTTTGTACACCGGTCGGGTGCAGTTTCTGCCCATTCTTCTTGGCAGGTTTGTTCAGCATATTTCAAGTTGCTTGGAAATGGCTTATGCACAGCAGTTTTAAACTCTTGCCACACACTCGTAATTGGATTTCATGTGAGGACTTAAACTGGGTCACTCAGGGACATTCACTTTCTTATTCTTCAAACAATACAAACAACAATATGTCACTTCTTGACAAGCTTCCCAATCCTTGCTGACCAGAAGCAGAACTACAGTATAACATAATGCTGTCATCACCATGTTTGACAGCATGGACTGAGTAATGCACTATGTTGGGTTTGTGTCAAATTTGGTCTTTTCTGAGTAGGTGCTTTGTTGCATTCCCCATGCAGATTTTGTTTTAGTTCTATTTTAGCACATTTTCTATATTATTGACCTATGGCCGTTTTCTGTCTTCTCAGCCACTCCATAGCAAAGTCACCATTGGCCTCAAAGTGGCATCCCTAACCAGTTTCCTCCTTGCCCATCTGTTCAGTTTAGAGGGACATCCTGATCTAAACAGTGTCTGTGTGCCTTTCTGTTCATTCATTTCACTCCATTCTCTTGCCTTTCACTCCATTCTGATGGAGATATTGAGATTTTTTGAACGGTCATACAGTACATACTGTACTTCTCCTGATCCGTTCCTTTATACAGCTTGATATCCCTGAGTTGTTTTATAAAGTCTCTTGGTCATCATGATTGACTCTTTGGTTGACATTCAGTACCTAACTGAGGGACTTAGAGATACAGTAGGTATATTAATTCTAAAATCATGAGAACCACTATTTAAGCACATACTGTACAGTAGTCAGAGGTGGCTTAATTTTGTGTCTCATTGAGGTAATTGTGTTCACCTAAATTAATCAAGGCCTTTAACAATAAAGGGTTAAATATTTGTATTTACACATTTTCCATTTTCTTTGATATTATCTAATTGTTTTTTGCTTTCAGTTTGTGGAGTATACTGTATATATAACAACCATTAATAGCTACTTTACAGCAAGCTTTAAAACAATGAACTACATACTGTACACAATTTTTCAGTGTGAATGCTTTTAAATAAAACTTGAATGCTGAAACGTACTTATCAGTAAGAGAATTTAATTAAAAAATACAGAGAAAAATCAACACCTAAAATATGTTGATTGCATAAATATTCACTGTCTTTTGTGTTTATATATGATGATAACTATTCAAACTAAGTCTTTTTGTCAGTGTTCTTACTTTGATGTAACCAATCCAAGTTTCATTTTATTTTGAATTAATTTCAGAATTAACTTTAACACAAAAAAAACATAATTAATAATTTGTTGATGTTATTATAATGTAATGTACAGGTATAAAAGATATCTTGACAACTATGAAGACTTGGGTCATGATAAAAAGTACAATAGTTTGCATTTGTGTTTACCTGTTTGTTTTAATAGACCATGTGTCTTTGAGTGTCTTTTATATGTAAAGAATTAACAGCGAGAATATTCCACAACTGTTTTTAAAATGGATTTAAAAAGAGTTCTGAAATATAAGATATAGAACTGAGAGTGTGAAAAGGTTTAAGCTGAAGTGTTACTAAGATGAAAGCAAACAATTATTGGTGGATATAAAATCAGGAAACTCAGGCATTGACTGAACCTAACTTTGGCATATGACCCTAACACAAATCATTAAAAAGTCTTTATTGTGTATATTGCAAATTCTGCTGTATTCTATATTCCATAATACACTATAATACGCTATACACTGAAATAACTGCCCATTTGTGAAAACTAAACCCAAAATAAGAAATTTAAAAATTGCTAATACTAATGAAATATTTACTAACCTTTACTTTGCTAGCTTGTCTTTCTTTAATATGGAAAGCATTTCCTTAGAAGTGAATTTCCTTTTCAGTTGAGATGTATCCAGAATTAGGACTGGTTTTGTTAGGACAGGCCGACCACTTTGATGTGAAAATCCATGACAGGAAAGTTGGCAGACAGAGTGGGCAGTGCATCAGAACTCCTGTGTTTCGGAACAGGCTTTCAAAGAATGGAATTGCCTGGTTTTGGCTGGGAAATTATTTACTTCCTACAACATTCTCTGCCACTTGGAGCAACAGATATTGAATCTGTTTGTTTTCAAAGGTTGACTGGAATCGTGGTTTATTGATAAAAAGAAAAGAATTTTATTGTGGTTTCTCCTTTACTTATGTTTTCTTTTCTGCCAAAGAATACATTCTTAGGTGGAGAGGTACATAAAAGCATTTTTGCTCTTTTGAGCAACATTTATATTTGGACCATTTATTCAGCTATATAAATAAAGGTTACGTACTGTTTTTTCCACTTGTACATCTGATGATTAGCTGGATTTATGGGATTAAACATTTCATCAGTCTTCTAAAGAAGAAAGAAAGAAAGAAATCTTACAAGGTACAGCCACAGCTCAGTCAAACATTTTTTTAAAAAGTATAAGCTTTTTAAAAATAACATTTTATCAGGCTAAATTGCAACTAGTACCTATAGTAATAGTATTAAAAATAGGAAAAAGCATTTTTATGTTTTCAATATTTTGCTGAATTTTTACAGTGTTTTTTTCAGTGTGCATTACCACTGAATAGTATGAAATTGCATTGTTTTTGTAGACATTATTATATATACTATATATAGGGGATATACTTTATAGCTCCACCTTGATTATCCCAGCCAACACCTGTACTTAATTATTATTATTAGACTGTCAGTTGCCATTTTGGCTACAGTAGGTGATTACTACAGTACATAGGAACCAAAATGGCCACCTCCTATGGAAGCCTTCCAGGGATAACTCTGTTGTATGGTCCTGTAGACTCCTCCTTCAAAGAGGCCATATTGTGCGTGAAAAAACAAGATTAACTGTATCTTTTTTGTTTTGGGATTTTCTTTTGTGTTACAAAATACATATCCAGCATTTTTCACATTTCACGTTATTTAAAGGTCAAAAAGTACATTAAGCTCCAAAGGGTGGTAAGCTGGTTTCAGTAAAACACCAAGCGATTTAAAACAAACAGGAGTGTAATGGAAGTGCAGTCAATATTTTTACAGCTTGTGGCACTGCACTTGGTACAGTACTTATTCTTGCACTGGCAATGTTTTGGAAAGTTAACAAGGTTACTTGGAAGCTGGAAACTGCTAGGCTCACCCAGTACAGTCCACTTTGTAAGCAGGAAAAAAAGCTTCTCTCGAAACCAGATATAGAGAAAGAAATTCTGCCTTGTTTTAAGTGTGGGCTGAACTTTTATGACTCATTCCTAAAATTATTAATGTGTACTTTTACTATTTTAGCTTAATTCCACCCATAGACTAATACATTTGTACAAGACCACAGTCTAAATTTGCAACTTCAACAACAGGTTAAAGTAATCCCTTATTAAAAGGTGTGCCAATTACCAACATTTCTTATGAGCAGGTGATTTGTTTGAGTGTATTACTACAGTTTAAACATTCTTCAGTAATGAGTAGCCACCACCACTTGAGCATTTAAAGAAAGTATTAACATGGGAACATTCCCATGGAGTATAAACAATTTTTTGTTTTTCTGTTTCAGATCACAGCTCCAACATTTCCAGTTGTGGTAAAGATGGGACACGCACACTCTGGGATGGGAAAGGTAAAATTGTTCTTCAGTGAAATGTAAAGGAATTAATCATACATTAGTTTAGCAAGTAATTAAATGCTACTAACCCCTGGGGTTTCAAGAGATTTATATAAAAAAGACAATTCTACAAGTAAAAATGTCCAAATGTACAGAAACATCTCACCCATTAGCTCTGGTTCAGTATAATTGAAAATAAACAAATGTGTCAAAACAGTAAAGCTTTTCTTTCTAAATTTCCTTTAAAACATATTTACAGCCTAATAATAACACCTGGTAGGTGCTTTTACAAAAGTGTATCATACACAAACTACTGAATATGTAATAATTTAACTGATGATTAAAAGATTGGTGATTTTGCACTGTTTTAGTTACATTCAGCATTGCAAAAATGGGAAGGTTTTAGATTGGATGCTGATAGTGTAGTGGGGAAAAAAAGATATAAAAAACATCACTATATAGGAACAACATACGATATAGTAATAAGAAAAAAATAAAAGCTGTGTTAAAGTGATTTTGGAGTGGGTTAAGTTACTTCACACACCATTGATGACAATAAATAAGGAATGTACAGTAATTTGGAACTTTTAGGGGGGTGATGATGTATGACAGACTAATTCCTTCCACAAAACAGAGATCCATGTCATTTTAAGTAGGGCGCAGGTCCGGATTAAATTAAAAAAAACCTGATCTGCCTGTCAATAAAAGACAACAAACTTGTTACTTGACAGTGGTTTTGTGCTCGGCAGTAGTTTTGTGCTTTAAATGCATAGGAATATCTCATCAGGTTGTGGCTATGTAATTTGCAATTGTTACAGTATGTGAATCAAAGTACCACAGACCCCATTCTTAAATAAGTTGGTTCTAGGGATCTGGACACATTACAAAACTCGCAATAATAATAATAGAATTTGCAGGAGGCTTTCTGAGGTTCTTCAGGTCCTTACAATACACCCTAGACTGCTATCAAATGCCCCAGCTCACACTGTGAGGCCCTTTATGCACCAAACACACTCATATGAGGCTATGCGTTTTAACCTATTGCCAGTAATCTCATTTATTAACTCATTATCACTCAGTGTGTCAATTTATAAATGATAGAGGCCTTTAACAGTTATAACAGTTGTTCTAATTTTCCCCTCAAAGATCACCCTGCCACAAAAAACTTTGTAAAAAACCCTATGTTCTTGTTAAGGCTCATTCTCTTCATTTCACTACTGTCCTGAAGTGTTTGGGACAAAACACATCCTTTCTCAATATCTCAAGATTTGTCAAGAAGTAAAGGCTTGGAAAAAACAACTTTCAAAAGGGGATTGAGAATTCTTTTGCTGATTGTTTGACAAACTGGATCAAAAATTCAACTGTAGGGGAAACCCTACAGTGAAATATCAGAAAATCTGGAGACAACAAGCAACTTTTTCACTTAGCAGCATGGTTCATATTTAAAAATGGAAGTGTGGACATAGTTGCAAAAAAGAAAATAAACAGCATATTCCTGGTTCGTATCTTTTCTCCACATTAAAAGTTTTTTTTTGTGTTTGTGTTTTTGAGCAATAGGGACATACAGTCGCCCCATTTAAAGTTAAGTGAAACATCTGTAACAGGTCTTTCTTCTTGAGGTGAACACAACACAGTAAATCTTTAGATTTAATAACAAAAGAATAAATAAATTAGTTAAATTCTTGGCTGGCCAGATTAATGAATTTGGTATTGGGATAATCACAGAAGTGTTATGTGTTTGAAGGGCTTAATCTTCAAACTATTTATTATATTGGTGGAGGGGAATTTTTGAGAATTGTAAGCAAAAAGATTAAATAATATTACAATAATTTAAAATTTCTGCTGTATTGTTATACCTAATACCAAGTCAATAAAAGTATATACAGTACTCTTTTATTTTTTACTGTATTAACAAATGCAGTTATAAATGCACATGAATCTTCGCATTATCCTAGGATTCCTTTTAGGAATATTAAAAGGTTTTTATTTTTATTGCACATTTGAATATATTATTTATCATTTATTTTGATTTACAGGTTGTTACTATTTATTGCATTGTGAAAAAGCAAGAAGTTTGCTTATACAAAGATATGATATGCAGAAGTTTTCTCTGATAACATCTTTGGGATCATAGTTCCCACACTTCCAGCAGAAGAAAGGACAAAAATGACTGAAAAAAAGGAAAATGTTTGTTCGCCTATATAAGAGTACCAACATTTCTTACAAGGACTGTATGAGGATAGTATAAATTCTATACTGATGACTAACCCACTGGTATTTACTCAAGATATTTGGAATAACTGATTACTATCAAAAATAAAAACAATATATTTTTTGAAAATATAGTATATTCAAACACTGATGAGAAATCTGACATTTGGAGTCACAAATAATCATGAATAAATCTTTTCCCATGAAATTCAAAATTGTAACATTATTATGTGCAATATCATTACTACAAACAGATATTAAGTATAGATAATCAAGAGGTTTTGTAGTACAGATATTTAAATTATAGGCTTTAATGTATGTACTCAATTAGGCAGAAAAAATATTTTTTATAAAAAAGTATTTTTATAAGGTGGTTCAACCTTGTGTTTGAAATTAAATATATGTTTATGGGATAGATAAGTTATCATATTTTTGGCTTTGGCTACTGCCATTTGCCTCAGGACAAACACATGTTCTTTTTCCATTGATGTGATCTTAGAGATTCAGCTGTGGGAACTGTCATCTGATCATCTCTCTAGCTACTTTAAAACTGTTGTCCCTGAGTAAAAGAGTCTTACAAAAATATACAAATGCTGGTGGTTCATGGATTAAACATGAATCTGAAAACTCATGTGAATTTTTAAACCAAACAAAAAGGCATCAGAATGCCTACAGTATCACAGTCAAACAGGTGTAATGTACAAACTGTCTCCGTACCTTACCCCAAAAGGCAGAACAAAAATTAGCCAGAACGTTTTCAACTTACAGTATCTTCTACAGTACTTTTACTGTGTGTTAAACCTAACAATCAAGCTGTTGTAATTTCTTACTATGCACTAAATTATATAATGATTAATAACTACATAAAGACGTCTCAGTGGGACTTGTGGTCCCTGGGATGTTATTCCAACTTCAGGTGTCAATACATTTAATTGTCTAGTTATTGGATTACTGGAGAACTGGATGCAGATCCATTCACTGGAGTGGCCTTCCAGGGTGAGAATTAAATGGGAAAATGTTTGTTGTATCAAGAAACATGCAGTCTTTATTTACAAGTAGTCTGGTTATAAGCAACTGAAGCCAATTTACTGCACCAAGCAATAGAATTTTCAGTGACTGAATGAGTTCTCAATAAAAAAGAAAAGAAACAAAAATAAGAAACTAAAGCAGAGTGCGGTTTGAACCCTATTGCCCACATGGCAATGGTGCTGTTCGGGGCAATGCTATTAGATGGCTGTAACAGGTGTTCCCCCATTGGTACACAGAGGACCACCAGAATGCTACCTGAGTCAGTGTGGTTTGAGTCACACGGGTGTTCCTCAGAGTGATGAGTAACAGTGAATCCTGGGAAAGGGGAGATCATCGTTTCAAATGGTCAGTGGCTCAGACAGGCGGGTATGTCCCGAGGCTCTCATTCTTCCCATACAGTCAGAGTTGTTGTGGCAAGAAATGTTGATTAACAACTGGTGACTCCAAACTGAGGTCAAATAAAAAAAAACTGCACAGCTTTTACAGCTGTAGATATCTTTGGCCTCCAAGTGTAGTAGGCAATTTTAATTCTATGCACATTAATTCCCCAGGATGCACTGAGCCATTTCAACAAAGTGCCTAAGTGCCTAAGTGCCTTAGTTCAAAATACTGTATACTGTAAGTGTGGATATTAATTGAATTTTGTAATGTTTAACATTTACAATATTGTGTTTCTAATGTCTACATATTTTTCTTTAACAGATAAAAGTTGAAAACCAGTACGATTTTCAAGACATAACCAGTGTGGTTGCACTGGCAAAAACCTATGCTACATCTGAACCTTATATTGAATCCAAATATGACATCAGGATCCAGAAAATTGGCAGCAATTACAAGGCCTACATGTAAGTGTGTAGAGTTTTTTACAACGAGATACAGTCGCACGGGATGATAAGTGAGTGTGCCTGGTTTCAATAATAACCATGAAAGACACGCTTTTTAAACATTATCTTTTATCATTTCCTGATAATGCTCCAAAAGAGATGATAATAGAAATGTATGACCTGTGCCTTATTTAATTCAAATTCCTGTGTTTTATATTGTTTTACACTAGTTTCAATGTGACTAAATCTAAGGGGCTTAGAATCGTAACATGAGATAAATAAATTAGCATTCCTTTCATTAGCACTAGTAATTTGTATCTAAGGCAAGTGGAATGCTGTGAGAGACTTCAGTGAAACTGCAGTTCAGTCTAATTTTCTCCAGATGCCCAACTGTAGTCCATCTGTCATGCTATATTGGTACAAAAGATATATACATTACTTAAAACTGTAAAGTACTACAAAACTAAAAATATTTTTGTTTGGAGACGTGCAGTATGAGGAAATAAACAATAGAATAAATGTTTTTTCTACTTGTTTAAGCTACTTTGTTGGCATTTGAGATATTAAAGTCAAAATCTTGATTCAGCTTAAAAAAGAAGAACCTGATTATGTGTTAATTACACATATAAGACCACAAACTAAAAAGAGACCAATTGTGGATGTAATAAGATCACTTTATTGGCCATATACAATTTCTTGCATCATGAATTTGTCTTTTTGCATACCCCAGCTTGGTCTCCATGAGACATACACACAGGGAGAGAGAAACTTGTGGTCAGAGCACAGAGTCAGCCATTTATACGGCCCCCCTGGAGCAGTTGGGGTTAAGGGCCTTGCTTAGGGGCCCAACGGAATAGGATTCCTCTGCCAGCCACGGGATTTGAACCAACAACCTTCCAGCCATAGGCGCAGATCCTTAGCCTCAGTGCCACCACTCCACCCAATATCCTTGAGTAACAATCCTACAGTACTGTATGTGATTGAACGAAAAAATAGATGAGAAAAACATAAAAAGGACAAGGACAAACAAGATCACTGAACAGGTTTTATAATGGAATTTCAGAGTAGTATCTGCTAATACAAGCCTGTAGGAATGTCACAACCTCAGATAATCACCAGTTCTTCCCAATTCCCGCAAAAGCCGGTGCATTAACTAATCAGCCAATCGCACCTCTCACCCTTCACCGCACCTTCTGCCTCCCACCTCACTGACATCACTTCAGTGCTCCGTATTGGTTTTCACCATTGGAGCTCCTGTCTCACGCTTTTTAAGAACCCCACAGACAATCGCTGAAATACTGATACTCCAGCTTCATGACCTGTGACTGAATTCAGACTATGATACATGATCACAAATTTGTCTAAATACATCTGGCTTTATTCTTCATGTCCTTGTGGGATCTCTAGCATTTGTGTCCCATAAGGTTCATTTTATATTTCACTAAATTGGATCTCCGGGACGCATACAATCTGATCTGCATCAGGAATGGGGATGAGTGGAAAATGGCGTTTATGACCACACATGGTCTTTATGAATATCTGGTAATGCTTTTTGGGCTTGTCAACACTCCTGCCATTTTCCAATCTTTTATTAACGACATCTTCAAGGATATAATTTATAAATACATCCTGGTCTATCTAGACGATATTCTCATCTTCTCCAAAAACCCTCATGATCACGTTCTCCATGTCCGAGAGGTCTTATCCTGGCTCATTCAAAATAAACTTTATGTAAAACTGAAAAAATATTTCACATCTCCAGGATTCAATTCCTTGGCTACACCCTCTCTTCCCTCCGCATCGAGATGGATTCTGCCAAAATAGCAGCCATTAGAGACCGGGCTACCCCCAAGAATTTAAAGCAGATCCAGCGTTTTCTCGGGTTCGATAACTTCTACCATTTCATACGCAATTTAAGCTCCATGGTGGCCCCCATAACTATTCTCACCGTTAAAGTTCCTAACCAAGGTAAATGGACCCCCGAGGCAAACAAGGCATTTCTACAAGTTTCTACAACCTGTTTTCCACAGCTCCACTTCTCAGAAACCCAGATCCCCCCTTGCACTTTGTGGTCGAGGTCAATGCCTCAACTCATGATGTGGGAGTGTTTCTCTCGCAATGCCACAACGACAAGGGAGTACTCCACCCTTTCGCATTCTTTTCGAAGAAGCTGTCCCCTGCCAGAATAAGTTGCGATGTAGGGAACCATGACCTCTTAGCCATCAAGCTTGCCCTAGAAGAATGGAGACTGGAGATTGGCTGGAGGGAGCTCAACACCCTTTCATCATCTTTACCAACCACAAAAATCTATCATACATCCAGTCTGCTAAACGACTGTACCCCCGCCAGGCCAGATGGTCTCTGTTCTTTTCTAGGTTCCATTTTGTCTTTACTTACTCGCCTGTGTAACGTTGCCATAGCCAAAATGTAAATGTAGTGGCTCTCTGAAGGCACCAGTTCTGTAGGGTTTGGGCATTTACTGGGACAATTATTAATTGTA